GATGGATTTACAGAACGATCTGATTGGTTGAAAAAATTGATCGTGATTATCACTTAGGTCAAAAAAACCTGGAGCTGCGACCACCAATTTTTTTCATAGAGCTGTGCTGATTGGTTAAAATTTACCATTGATAGAGTAATAATAGAGACTGCTCAAACATATTCTTTCATTAAAAATTTTTTTTATTAATAAAATATGGATCTTCAACAAGACCGTTGTAATCGATACAAAAAAATTACCATGATACTTTTTATGTTAAAAACTCTCATTGCAAATAAAAAAAAATTAAATATTAATATGCAAAGAATAAATACCTATCACCTTCTCACTTTTAGTTATATTTCAATGAATATAATTATTCCATATCTTGTTTTTTCATCCAATACAAGGACACAAAGTCAGAAAAGACCTAAAACCGGAGGTTTTTGGACAAATATATTTCCATATTTAATGGATGATAATAGTTATAATTCTTTTCGACGACACTTCCGTATTACTCGTACTACTTTTTATGCTATTGTTTCTCGTTTAGAAACACATCCAGTTTTTATGTCAAATGCTATGAATGCAACACCAGTATGGAAACAAATTGCAATCGTGTTATGGCGATTAGCAAATAATGTAGGAATACGAGTATTAGAACAGACTCTTGGCATAAGCCAAGGGTCTGTAAGTCATTTTACTGATAGATTTTTAAAAGCACTATTGGATTTGGAACAAGAATGAATTTCATGGCCGAAGGGATCACGACTAGCAACGGTAACTCAAGGGTTTGAACGTGGAGAAACTGGATTTGGAAATCGTAAATTGCCTAATGTAGTTGGAGCAATAGATGGATCTCATATACCGATCCATGCACCTTCTAAAAATGGTTCACATTATGTCAATCGTAAAAATTTTCACTCTATTAATCTTCTTGGGATCGTTAACTATCAAGGGCGTTTTATTTATATACATGTTGGAGAAGCAGGCTAGTGATTGTTTTTTTTTATTTATTGTTTAAAAATATTTACTAATTTTTATAAACTTTTTTTTTAATTATAGGAAGTGTACATGATGCTCGTGTGTTTTATCATTCTTCTCTTTGTCACGAAATTTCTTTGAATTCAGAACAATAGTTTCCGGGTGGTACTTATATTATTGCTGATGCAGCATATCCTCTTAGAACATATTTAATGAAAGCGTATCCTGATTATTATATGTTGACCCATCGTGAATGATACTTTAATAAGGTTCTTTCATCAATGAGAATGGTTGTGGAATGAGCATTTGGCTGTTTAAAGGGGCGATGGAGAATTTTACTTAAAGAAATTTACTGTATTGATATGGAACGAATTATAAGAATAATTCATGCATGTTGTATTCTACACAATTTTTGTATTGATATGGAGGATGTACTATCTTTAGAAGATATTAATGATGAGAAAATAAATTATGAAGGCGAAGTCAAAGCAACAAATGAAACATATGAAGAAACGGCTAGCATTCAAAAAAGAGATTATTTAGCTAATCTTCTTATGAACTTGCAATAAAATTATTTATTACATTGCTTGCATTAATTAAACATATACATATTTTAAAATTTGCATAATTATACAGTATTACAGTATCACATTATTATTTATAATTTTAATAAGAACTGCCTAAAGATATCCATTTGTTCGTCGTGTTGCTTCTGTTGCATTTCAGATGTATTAATATACTGATCGTTCATAATTTTAGTAATAGTTTCAGTTTGTTCCTTGATCAAAGTATGGAACTCTTCTATATTCGTCTTTTCTTCTTCAGCACGTGTACTTCTTCGTTTTTTAATATCTTTCTATATAATATAAATAAAAATTTAGTTAAGAATAAATAGATAATAAATACATAACAATCTTTTTACCTCATCATCATCTTGGTCTTCAACACTTTTTCGTTTAACTCCATAAAGTGAATCACTTGTAATAGGTGCAGTAACACTAGGATCTTTTCTTAAATACTCATCAATGTCATTAAAAAATTCCCAATTATTCTGAACAGGTTCTTCACCCGTGCTTGCAATCCTATCTTTTATGTCACGGTATTTTTGGAGAAGTGAATCCCATTTTTGTTGAATTGATGCCTTTGTACGTTCTTTTAAAACTAAGCTTGCAATTTCAGAGGTTTGTATATTAGTGATAATCTTATCCCAAATTCGGCCCTTTTCTCTTGGATCTTTTACTCTTTGTAATGCTTGTTGTTGCTTGCCTACTTCTTCGATAAGCATTCGTGTTTCAGATGATGACCATCGATTTGATAATTTTGCAGATACATCAGAAGTAGCAATTGTTGATGTTGAACCAAGGATATTAGGAGAGGTAGAAGAACTTGGTCCAACAGCTACAGAGCCAAATAAATTTTCTTGATCACGAGTAATCAATGATGGTTGCGGTGAAAATGAAGTCTAAAAAAAAAAATAATAATCATAAAAAAAAAAAAAAAAAAAAAAAAAAAAAATTAATTTAATTTTATGTATCATATATATTCTGTACTTTATTATAAATAATGATTTTTACTATTTCATTATATCTTGATGTCGGTTCATTCAATTTCAAAGAATTCGTATAATATTGTGTAGTCGAATATGGCTGTTGTGTAGCCAAATATAGCTGTTGTGTAGCCAAATATGGCTGTTGCTGCAGTGATAAGTTATTTGTAAAATCGTTAAAAGGACGAATAGCTGGAGAAAAAGTTTCGGGAACTAAAGTTTCAGATGAAAAAACTTTGGGTGCTAAAGGTTTGGGTGCTAAAGTTTTAGGTACTAATTTAGTAGTCGCCTTTTTTAGTTTTTTTGGAGACATAATGTTAATCGATAGAAGAATGAAAAGAGATAGCTCAAGCATTGATCATCATCTTTATATCAATTGATAGTAGTGCTT